AAAGTAAAGCCATATTAATATGCTGAGCTGTAAAAGGCTCAAGTCAAAAACTTCTGACATTGCCAGTCCTACAGAAAACCCATTAGTATTATGGACTACTGGACTATATTGGAAGTTTGCTGAATTCATGCACCTGCAATATTTAAATGATAATGGAATACCCTGCCCCGACAGAACTAAACAAAAAAGGGAGATACAAACGAACAATCATTTTATAGCTGTACATTCAAAACAGGATAGATATACAGCTGCATTCTCTTAATGCAATGAAAAGAGATTTGTTCGAATAATGTTTGTGGACAGGATATCATGTCTGCATCTTGTGCAATGAATAACCACTAAGACAACAATATGCAATGTATTAATTATTGAAACTGTGCTAGTAATTGGTTTTGAAACTGTCTCATTGCTATTTGTTTCTCAATAAAATTTTTAAAAATTTTAAAAAATAAGATTCTAAAGATCAAAAAAATTACATATGTTGGATCAACAAATTTAAATATGATACCTAGGAAATATTACTCAAGCAAACATATTACCTACTCAAAAATAAATGGGAAAAACTTTAAAAAGAAAAACAATAAACTTAACTACCTACAAACATAAGACTTCAACATGAGTGAAAACTGTACTATATGGCTGGGGAGATGGTTTGGCAGTCTAAGTGCCTGCCTGCCAAGCTCAAGGACCCAGGCTCAGTTCCTAGTATGGTATGCCATGCTGGTCATGCTGGCTACCGAAACTGGGCATGGTGGCACATACTTGTAATCTGAATGCTGGGGAGGCCGAGACAGGAGGATCACTACAAGTCTGAGCTGCACAGCAAGACCTTGTACCAAATAAATAAATAAAAAGTTAAAAAAAATTTATTTTAAGTATACTATGAGAATGCCAGCAAGATACCTCAGCAGACTAAGTGCCTGCTTAGGGGTTCGATGTCCAGCACCACATGCCATGCTGACCCAGACTTCAGGGTGTGCTGAGCTAAAATCGAGTCCAGGCATGGTACCATACATCTGTAATCCAGCACTGTGGAAGCTAAAAACAGGAAGATCACTAGAACTCTGAGTTGTGCAGTGAGATCCTGTAACAACCAAATACATTTTTTAAAAAAGCTATTCTTCCTGTTAAAGTCACTGGAAGCTAGTAAAAGAAAAACCAACAATCTATTTAAAAACATGCAAAAGGACATACAGAATGAAAGACAAAGTTTGAAAGAAAAAACAAAAAGATCTGTTTTTCAGAAGACTTCACTATTAGTGCATTAGGGCTAAATAGTCTTTAGAAGAGTAACCAGTAGAGGTTAAAACACTACAAGGGACTTGAGAATTAATGACCCAGGTACTGGGATGCTCTAATATGAATAATGATCGAGAAAAAAGAGTCATACACAGACTGGCTCTTCATCTTACTTGATTTAGCATGACATCATAGACATCATTTCCCTCACAGTACACATGAGCCTGGAGAAAAAAAAGACAAAAGGTAAGTAATATCAGTATGCTTTCAGTCCTGAGTTCCAAAATGAGGCTTTAAATCTTATGGCTCAAGGTTGTTTCTCTAGCACCATCATCTACATTCTAGGAGAAAGGGAAATGCGTATTCAGCAGTCTGTTATTATTACAATGAAAACATGCTACTTTTTTCTAATTACAAAAACAAGATTCTAACTCAAAAGAAACTTACTCAAAGGAAAAAGCAGATTTTTTACTATATACTTCAAATCCTCTCCCTATTCATTAGTAACATGGCATTACAAGGCAGTCTCTCATTAGAACAAGACCGTTCTAATAATGTAATTTTCTGGCTGGCTGAAAAAAGAGAATGAGGTGTCTAAATCTGACGACAGCTGCAAAAAGTAACTTTGTTAACCCCTATGATTATTAATCCCAAATCCTACCCATTTTCACCTCTCTTGGTCAAAATTTTAGAGTGGATTTCCTAAAATGCGTATTAGCAACATCTCAGACAAGAATCCTAACAACAAAAAACACTGTTCTCAGGGAAAGCAATGGACCTAGAATAGGTTTCATAGTTTCTCACCTTTCCCAACTTGGCTGTACACTCCTGATCCACAGGAGCTTTGCCTTTTAACAGCAATGAATTCACAGATTCTGAGAAAAGATTAATACGTAATAAATTACTTATATGGCAATCAAAAGAAGCTCTCAGTACCAGGTGTTGGGGCTTATGCCTGTAATTCCAGCACTCAGGAGGTAGAGGCAGGAGGATTGTTGCAAGTTTGAGACCAGTCTGGGCTACAAAGTGAGCTTAAGGCCAGCCTGAACTGCATAGTGAGACCTAGTTTCAAAAAGACCAAAAAAAAAAAAAAAAAAAAGCCAAAAACCAGTAACTAAATTCTGTGGAATACACAAAGCATAGAAAATTAATTATATAGTCAGGGCAGAAAGAAATAAGATCTGAAACAACAAGATATCACTATTTTAACAGGACCCCTTGAAGGGCCAGCCAAATAGCTCAGTGGATTAAAGTGCCTGCAAACAGACACAGGGGCAGGGGTTCAATCCCTGGGCCTGCTGTGCTGGCCCTGTCCCTGGGGAGCACTGAAACAGCAATTGAGACTGAGCAAGGTGGCACATGCCTATAATCCAAGCTCTTGGAAGGCTGTGAACAGGCAGATCACTATGAGTCTGATCCAATAGTGAGACCCTGTACACCCTGTAGACCCTTCCTAAAAAGAAAAAGACCCTTTTGCTGGCCCATGTCCTCCTTGGCTTCCTACCTTGTATATCTTCTGTCCTACCTTTATCAGCCTTTCCTCCACCTATGGGCTCCTTCACTCCCTGTCTCCTGCATTTGCGAGTTTTCTTTGCAGGAGGTGAGTCTTCTGTAGCTGTAGAGCCATTCTCTCTCTTGGTTTCATTTAATACTGTAGAAGATAAAAGCAAGAACAATGAGCAGATAAAGAAAGGGAGTCCAGAATAAATATGATTCTTTTTTTTTTTTTTTAAAGGGGAGGGTAGGCACATCATGCTTGCTAGGCAAATGGTATATAACTGAGCTGTATCTCGTCACTTTTTCTCCTTTTTTTAAATTTTGAGACACAATCTTGCTAATTTGCGCAATCTGGCCCCACATTAGTGATCCTCCTGTCCTACTCTTTTTTTTTGGCAGAACCAGGGATTGAACTCAGGCCCGTATGCTTGCCAGGGAAATGCTTAATTCTACTGAGCCATCTCCCCGGACTCACTCTTTTAAATAGCTGGGATTAGCTGGCAAATGTAAGAATACTTGTGTGTGATGCTCACTTCTGAACTCAGGACCTTGCATGTGCTACATTAAGGAGCTACATTCCTCATGGGGAGGCTTTTACAGATATAATTTAATAAGGTGGGTTTGTAAATGTACAATGAAACAATACTAGCTGCCACACCACTGGTTTTGTGAACTGTTCCAAGTAATCCTTCCTAAATAGCTATTCAACCCAAATAAAATAAAATGAACTCCAGAGCTTTTGTATACTCATAGCCCGAGGCATGAGTTCTGTAGCCTGTTGATCCTTTGTACCTATTTATGCTGCCCTGCCATACCTTTGCAGTTCTGCCCACGGTGTATGAAATAATGGTGTGCAAAGAGTTCTACAGTCTAATCCTAAACTTGAAGCAACTATGGAAACAGAGAAATTATATAATCCACTTGTGCCTCAATGGCCCAACTATAAAATCCAAAGAACAGCAATATCCTAATTTATAGGTTGAGCCTATTAAGAGTACTAGGACCTATGGGTACTGTATCTCAACAATTCTAGGATTTGAACCTGTCTGAAACTACGATTATCCTACATCGGATGATACAAAAGTATTGAATCATACTTAGGGCCAGCCTAAAAGCAGACTAAAGCACCAGCTTGGGCAGACTGCAGGGGTTGGGGTTTGATCCCCCGAGGGTGCAGTGCCGGCAACTGAGATGCCAACTGAGACTGGGTGTGGGGGCAGATGCCTATAATCCCAGCACTCGAGAGGCTGAAAAGAGGAGAATTACTACGGGTCCAATCTGTGTGGTGAGACCCTGTAGACCCTGCCCTAAATTCATTTAAAAAAAAAAAAAAAAGTATTGAATCACGCTCAACTAGAAGTATTTATTCTTTCTCGGTGATATATAAAATAATGAGATTTACAATTAACTTTTAAACGAATAATATTTAGCATTAACAATACTGGTACTATTGTGGCTTTTACAGTGCCACAAGCCTTTCTGAATTAAAGAACAGTAATATGGAAAACGAAACTCCAAAGCTTAACGCTACAACTAGTTTAAGACACGGGACTGGGGATGAGGAGCTGGAAGAGGGAGCGTTCTTTTCCCCACTTCAGGGCCCAACCTCCAGCCCCTAAGAAGCTGCAAACCTGGCTTCCGCCGGCCGCTCCCCGCCCGCCGTCTCGCCGCCATGGAGTTCAAACGCTGACGTCATCAACCCGCTCCGGGATCGCCCGCCCGGTGCTCCGCCGTGGACTTGCAGCGCATGCGCTCTAGGGAGGGCCCAGCGGGCCAGACTGGGGAAGAAATCTGCATATCGCTATGTATTGTGGGAAGTCACCCTAACCATAGAGTACACTGAGCTTTGGACCTCTTATAATTTGCGTTTGTGACTAACTTCCTTCATAGGGTGGAGGGAAGCTCATCAGTGGGGCTACGAGCTGAGTGCGTCACGTCACTCTGTAGCGCGTCCCTTGGGAAGGTCTGAGACTAGGGCCAACGGCGGCCCTAACAGGGCCCTCCCTGAGCGCGGGGAGGTGAGTTCCCAGAGAGCGGGGCTCCGCGCGAGGGTAGACTGGGCAGGAGAAGCCCGGGCCTCCCGCGGAGGACCTGGCGGATGCCCCCTTAGCCGGAGCTTGGAACAGACTCACGGCCGGCGCAGTGAGTTCAATGGCTGAGGTGAGGCACCCCCGGGGCCTCATAACCCAATTCAGACTACTCTCCCCCGCCCTCTTTTTAAAAGAGCGGGCATAAAAGAGACTACAAAAATGATAAACGATAGTAGGGATACAATAATGGTTGTTTTGTTACATGTTATCTTCAAATCAGTTGGATTTTGGTTTTTTGGGTTTTTTGGTGGGTTTTTTTGGTTTGTTGTTTTTTTTTTTTTTTTTTTTTTTTTTTGTGCTACCCTGGGATTGAACTCACGACCTTGTATTTACCAAACAAGCACTTTTTCCACTGAGCTATCTCCCCAGCCCCAAATCAGTTGTTTAGATTACCAGATGCAAACATGCAAAATTGGTTTAAAAAAATTATAAGAAACTAAAAAGAAGTAAAAGAAAAAATTAAGCATTTACTACTTTCAATAGGCTAGCAAAAATCAGCAGTACAGTTATCCAAGCTATCCTGCATAAATATATTTTCCCTCCTTTAGAAACTTTAAAATTATTAATTAAAAAAATGCTAACCGATTCGACAACCTCTGAGCAAGTCCATATGGTATTTAGTTGCCAAGTGTTTGGCTTGGTCAGAATCAGGAGATTCAGAGGCTGTATGAGCAATTACCTAGGCCAGAATTTATGAATGAAAAACTGAAGTGGCGACTCAAACGATGTTTTTAACAACACTGCATAACTCTCACTTAGGAATACCTTGTTATGCTAACACAGCATTGTAAGAGTGTCACATTGTATCTGTAAACAGAAACACAAAGGTACACACAAAAATTTTAGAAAAAATGTTAGTAAGTCAAATCCAGTATTGTTTTAAAGTAATGTAACAGAAACAAATAGGTTTTTCAGTTCAAAAATTAGGCAAGACACTATTTCAACAAATATTTGTGGGACACCTGGCTGGACTCCTTGGACAAAATAAGCCATAAGAGACATATTTGCTGTCTTCTGCACTTGTTGATAGATAATTGTAAATCATTGCACAAGCAAATGTGAAAGTAGATGGTCAAGCAATGGCTGTGACTCATCCTCATGGTTGACACTGACAAAGGATCTACAAAGTGCAGTACAGGGCTATAGGATAAATCCTGAGGGTACTTGACTGACCTTATCAGATACAAAAGCTACATTTCTTGTTATATAGGTCTTGCTTTATCTTAGTCTTAACCATCCAGCAGAAAAGTATAAAAACGAGCTATATAAAGTAAATCCATATTAATACGATGAGCTGTAAAAGGCTCAAGTCAATAACTTCTGAGGATAACCCACTAATATTATAGACTGCTAGACAGTGTTGGATTGTTTAGCTGAATTCAAACACCTATAGTATTTAGATGCCAATAGAATATTCACCTCTGACAGGACAAAAAAAATTAAAAAAAAAGGGGGGGGGATACAAAGGAAAGATTATTTTGTTTTTATATATACAAAATAGTTAGGATAAATATACAGCTACTTTCTATTAATTCAATGAGAAGAAAGAGGTGTACTAATAATGTTTGGACAGTATATCCTGTCTGCTTCTTGTACTATGGATAACCACTAAGAAGATAACAATGTATAATGTATTGATTATCGAAACTGTCCTATTAGCTTTGAAACTGTCTCATTCATATTTATTTCTCAATAAAAAATGCTGCAAAAAAGAAAGAAATATATGAAAAAAAAAGAAAATAGAGCAGCAACAAGAACTGCAAAGGAGCAGCATACAGTATTAAAGTAAATTCTAAAGGGGTGCTTGTGATGGAATTGTCCATACACTGTGTTCTAGATCTGATTTGTGGGAGAATCAATAAGTGAGGAAGAACACCCCTGGTGACAGAAATGGGAGAGATAAAACTGGAGAGAAAGCTGTGGCTTGCCCTAGTGTGTGGAGATAGATAGATAGATAGATAGATAGATAGATAGATAGATAGATAGAGGATTAAAGGCTAATATTCAAAAATAATACTTGCAAATTCTTTTTTTTTTTTTTTTTTTTTTTAAGGAAGGAAAGGTTTATTTAGCTCACAGTTACTGGAGGTTTCAGCCCATATTTAGCTGGCACCAAGGCAGAGCAGCACATGGCAGAGAGCAACCTTTCATGGTAGCAGCAAAGAGCAAGAGCCCTTGAAAATTCTTAAGCAGAAAATTATGTAAACTTTTTTATTTTAAGGTAGGTAAATTTCTTAAAACATAAAAATTTTGATTATACTAATATTTAAAATTTTGTTCAAAAGATGTAAAGTTTAAGAAGAAAAAGTTATTATTTGTATGAGATCTTACTATGGATACTTTAAAAGTCTAAAAGAAACTGTAAAATGTCACGCATGACCAGGGCAAGACCTTCTCAGCAAACAGGCTGTTTTCCATAAAAAACAGAAGACCCCAACCAGACCATGCCTCTGTCCTACGGTGAGCAGAACAGGTGTCCGTAAACATTTAGGACTTCACATACAGTCTCCCCAGGGAGGAGGAGCCCGGCCTTGTTTGCACACCTGCACTGAACGTCCTGGGAACTTGGACCCCAAATATTCCATCTAGATTCATTGGGAGTTCCCAAACCCTAAAAAAACTTAAATCTCTGGCACAGCTGCTGAAATCGTTCACAATCTCAGCCTTGTTTGCATCCGGGCAAAATAAACCCAGAATTTTGCTCACATAAAGCCTGGAAATAGTTTCAGGAAAGTTTCAAGAAACTTTTTAGTTTCTTATGCACCATTAGGAATATAAGGTAAAACACTTTCACTTAATATGAATGCTTAGCAAGGCTGATATAAAAATAAATTGCATAGTTTATAAATACAACTCAAGCAACTAAAAATAAATATTTTAGAAAAGGCACCACTTATTATAAACTCAAGGCATACCAAGAGCTTGTAAAATAAATCTAACAAAATGTAGGCAGTCAATTAATGTTGGGTTGGGTGGGTTAATTTGTTTCAGTAGCAACTCGAAGGCATCTGACTTATTTATGGCACAAATAAAGTAGACTATAAGAATAACTTGAAGACAGGAAAATATAATAAAAACTGAAAATATATCAAAAGTAACTAATACTAATCCTAATACCCCAAAGGCTGGGGCAGGAGGATTACTGCAAGTTTGAGATTAGCCTGGGCTACATAGTGAATTCAAGTCAAACCTAAACTACTGTACACAGGGAGACTCTGTCTCAAAAACAACAACAAAAAGCTAATAATAGAATTTTATGTACAACCACCTTTAATCTTTTCTCTCCACAATAATATAATTTATTTAGAGCTTCCTGTGCTGAGCTTTACATACTTTAATTCTCACAACAACTGTATAGAACAGGCCATTAAATCATGGGAAACTAATCTGCTAGTGAGTTGATACATGCCTGTATGTAATCCACCTAATAATCCCAGCTCTTGGGAGGCTGTAAACAGGTGGATCACTATGAGTTCGATCTAGTAATGAGACCCTGAACACCCTGTAGATCCTTCCCTAAAATACAGAAGAAGAAATAATAATAATAATAATAATAATAATAATAATTAAAGGCTATTTTGGGCAATTTAGGGAATTCAAGGTCAGCTTGAGTTACAGAATGAGACCCCCAGGGGCTGCCATAACTGTGGATCACAATTTACATAACAAATTTATTTTCTCATATTCTGGAGGCTAGAAGTTCAAGGTAAAGTTGTTAATAGGCTCGATATCTTCTAAGGCAGAGATGGAGAACCTTTTACAGCTTTTAGTTGTGACGAACAGCCAAGCATGGTAGAATAAGCCTATAATTACAGCACCCAGGATACTGAGACAAGAGGTTCTCAAGAGTTCAAGGCCAGACAAGACTATGAAGTGAGTCCTGTCTCAAAAACAAAGCAAAACAGAAAGAAAACCCAAACAACCTGCTGTGGTCTAGGCACCCAAGGTTTGCCACTACTGTTCAGAGGCCTGTCTCCTGGGTTCGTAGATGGCCATTTTCCTCCTGTGTGTTCACACAATCTTTGTTCTTTCTGCATGTCTGTGTCCTCTCTCCTATAAACACACCTATTTTCCTGGATTATAGAGCATGTGTGTAACTTTGAATTACCTTAATTGCTTCTTTATGTTAGGTTTTTCAGAGGCACAGTAAAGAGATAGGAAAGATAAAAGAGGTCTTTATTGACTCTGAAGACACAAGGGAGAGAATCTGGGGGGAAGTGGGGGATCTTCTGACCTGAGACAATGGAAGGCCAAGACTTTATGGACTTATGCCAGGAGCGGAGTTTGAAGGGCAGGTTTAATGACACCTAGGGAACTGATTGGGGTCTCCCCTGTGGGCACAGGAAAGGTATTCAGGACTGGGGTAGAGAAGCAGGAAGTGGTCATTAGGAAGATAAGCTGTTATTTTGGGGATTCAGCCATATTAGATGGCCACCATAATAATTCAGCAATTCATACTAGAGCCAGAACCTACCACTTTAAATGCTTATTGCCAACTATGATCAAATTCTGAAGAACTGGGATGGGGAGATCACTCAGCCATCTAAAGCACCTGCTTAGGCAAGCTTAGGCAGAAGCACAGGACCGCAGTTAGGTCATTGCACTGATACAGGGAGAAAAACTGATCT